CATACATAAGGTTGAGAAATAATTTAAAAAATGGGAAAATTAAAACCCATTTTGTCCCTATTCTCAAGAATCACTGAAAAGAGAAGTAAGTAAATGTCTTTTCAAATTGGTTGGGTGATCATTACACTGACTAGAGCTTGTGACAGATGTCATTTTTGTTTGACACTTGTACAGAATGGTAAATAATTTTATGTAATTTATTACATTTTCAGAGTACCTTACAAAAACAAAATAAATCTGAAAACAGCATGTTTTCATCTCCAAAGTACTCCTACGAAGCCATCCAGAAGATTGGACGTTTCCGCTCAGGTTTTCCATGTGTGGGTCTGGCAGGGTCAGGCAGGCTGCTGTAGGACAAGCTGACCACTTCTCCTTGACCTGCAACATTCTTCACCTGGTCTTCAAGTTTGCATAATTTACTGTTTTTTCTTTTCTTTTCAACTTTTAATGTTATGTTCTCTGCTTTTTTCCCTCTCCATAGAAGCTCGGTCTAGCCTGGTGTTCTGTCTAGCTGCGACACCTTGCTCAGACCTAAATCAGGGATAGTCAACATGTTGGTTTGTCTTGGCCTGATGTTGCAAAGTGTATGAGGTGTTCCCCGAGGACAAGTGAGAACGCAGGCCGTTGAATGTGACATGACAAAACAACTGTCATAGCGCAGCAGGAAGTCTATGTGTAGATGTTGTAGATACCTCTGTATTGTTTTTTGTTGTTGTCTTTAAACATAATCCACAAATATCGGCATGTTTGTTTACTCTGAACTCCTGCTTAGTCTCGAGAGGTTTCGCGATATTTGCGGTCTGGCATCTGAATATTCAGATGCCAGACGCCATCTGGTGAGTGAATTTGGCTTGACATCACACACAATACGACCAAACTTGCTAAAACTAGGGTTGTTATTGTCATGCGTGTGGTCACCCACGTTTCAAAAATCAACTGACAATTTCAATATCCTGTCCTGTGAATCTGGCATTACTCCAACTTCACCAATTTTATTCAAATTAAAACATAAATTAAAAAAAATATATTGGGCTAGCATTAGCCTAACAACTATTCATTTTGCAAATCCCAAACATGGCGATCAACATTTGAAGTGATTGTTGTTCTCCATGGATCTCTACCCAGACCCTTACAGAAGTTCCTTCATCTGGCCCAGTTGGTGCCAAGATGGAAATGTTTTAAAGATGGTGGACTCTGTGATTCGCTGGTGGAAACAAAATCAGCAAATGCAGTTAATGCTCGAGGTTTAGCATCAAAACTGGTGGTAAAAAGCTTCTCTGAGAGCGTTGTAACCCATGCTTTGAAATAAGGGTGTAACAATTCAACCGACACATGAGACAAGATGAGAAATAATGTCTTATATCAATACACTGATACACAGACTCTAAAACTGATTGTAGCAATGCATCCAGTTCATAATAACTAGGCCACATTTTGACTAAAATTTTGAGAAAACATAAAGCTTCCCTTCTGGAAGCAGAAAGAGTTGTTCTCACAAATAATTTAAGGTTTCATAAATCATAAACTGTGGCACAAAGGACCTAATCTCAGTGTATTCCATCCACATGTTGCCTGGTCCATATATTTTGCTAACTATGATTGTCACAAAACCAAAAAAAAAACAAACAAACAAAAACAAAAAAACCCTAATTGAATTCTCCCAGTTTAATACAGAACTAAGTTTACCTTTGATCAGTTTTTTATACTATAAAATGGAGAGTATATCATAAACGAAAACAAAACTTCAAAATAGTCTTTTAGTTTGCTGCAGATGAGAAGATCCAAAGCAAATGTCACGTAGTGTCATTAGGGATTAAAGTTTAACCAATCTAGCATCACTGATAGTGTTTATAACTGGTTTGTACCTAAACTGTCATCAACATAAGGGCGTAAATTCCAGTCATTTATGTTTTGTACTAGTTGAGAATCGAGTTTTGGAACCTTGTAAAGTAAAATGGCAGAGAACTGATGAGTTGTGCATATGTAGGTGGGAATGTGTGGAAGCAAAAGAATCCATGGTGTATAAATGTTGTGCATGTATATCAGAATGTGTACTTGTGGTTCAATTTTATGACGTTGTTGGGAAAAATGTCAATGAATTTCATGTTTGTGCATCCATAGATAAGAATTTATGTATGTAAAAATTAATTGTACTTGTAAGAAATTATTATATAAGTTTAATTTTTTTAAGGTTTGGTTAAAGATAAAAAAAAAAGCAAAAAAAAAAAAAAAACTTTGTCTGAAGCTCCTTAACCTGCGTGTGAGGTTCAACTTGCAAATTTGAGTTATGACAGAATATTTCTTCCTCTTAGATGACTTTTTTCTTTTTAAATCATGTTCGGTTACCATACTCTAAATCCTCTAATTTCTCTCATTTCCCGGAGTGCGGATCAGAAAAGTTATTATCCTTCCAGTAGCAGCCCACCAGCTGAAATTTCTGAAGGCCATGTATTCTTGAAAGAAGCAGTTTGTTTCCCTTTCCATCTGCTAGTCTTTAGGGATTTTTTTTCCAATAATGCCCACTAAATAACCACCATATAAAACGAGAGTTAAGTTAGTGGGCTTGTGTTTTTCTAATGTGGGAAGTTGGAAATTACTGCAAAAGAAAACAACGAAGAACATTTGCAGTAAGGTGTTGTGTTAGTGACTGGGAGACCATTAGTCTACCAAAACTTTGGTGACTAAGGTAAAAAGGGATTGCAAAAGGATAATGGTCTGTTTTAGTCTTTCTTCACAAACAGTTTTAATTACAGTTGTGTTCAATGGGGGACTCTTGGGTGGACACAGCGTGCACCGGAGGGTTTACAAAAATGCTCTTGAACAAAATAAAGATAGAAAAGAGGAGGACGAGAGGGAAACGGAGAGATGTGAACTCGGGAGGGTGTGGGGGGGATACAAGCACAAGCGGCATGGCAACACATAGAAAGAGGAAGAAAAGAGTTACCCATATGTAGCCGCCGTTTCACCCGCTTGTCCACATCAGCTACTGACGTGGCATTGAACTCAGAGCTCTCAATTGCAGCCTCATCTTTCTCTAAAACACAAGTGACAAGGGGACAAACAGTGAGCAGCAGGTTAATGAGAAGCCCAATTGACCAGACCTTCAGCCCTAACTTTGGCGTCTGAGCAAAAAAAAAAAGAAAAAACTAAAACCAAAGCCAAGAAGCAAGAAGCGATGAAGAGGCACCAAAATCCCTGTTAGAGTGTTAATCCCCAAACAGTCATCAATCCCCTGCAGCAAATCAAAAGAACAAAAAAAAAAATAATAATAATGAAACTGATCAGGATCAGTAGCTTAATGAAGCAGTAGGAAGGCAAAACGGTGGAGAGGGGAAGAAGAAAGTTCCGGGCTTTAAAAATTTGTATAAAGTTTTTTGGAAGGCATCGGTTGGGGGTGAACATTTGGATTTTGATTCTGATCGTGACCTTGCTGTTGGCGATGGTGTTTAAATGTTCCATAACACACAGCCACACAATCTTTCAGGCAATCGTTTCCTCATTTTAACATGTAAGAAAAGGAAGGGAGAAAAAAAAAAGAGGAAAAAGTGTCCAACAATTTCGAGAGAAGCTCCTTTGAACGAGAGCGAGGAGATGGACACGGAAAATTGCACGATGATGCGAGAAAGAGTACAAGGGCAATGTGTGAGAGGGCAATTAGTACAGAGAGGACGCTCCGAGAGCAGAGAAATGACAAGATGACAGAGGGACTCAAGAACACACAGGGGGAAAGAAGAAGAAAGTTTGAAGTCTCATCTTGACTTTACAGTGGGTGGGGGGAACATGGAGGGGTATATGATGGGTGCAAACTGAAATATTTTGGATGGATGACATGCATAGAGACTCAGAAATATAAAAAAAAATAAATAAAAGAAAGGCAGGTGGTCTGGGGCAGTGCTGGTTGCCTGTTTGTCTATAGATCAAATCACAACTGGACCTAGCAGTCAATGCTTGATGAACCACATTCCCAAAAGCTGGACTGCAGCAGTGGAGGAAAAATGGCAACAGTGCAAATCAGAGTAAGCAGACTGATTGTGACTAAAGTGGCATGCATCCCTGCATTGGATGACGGGGCTGGGAGAAAGAGCCAGCCTTTAACTGGGCTTCGATCATTAAGGCCTGAATTAGAATCAGTCTATGAATGAGCGCCACTTGCTCCAAGGAGAAAGGCCTTTGATGTCTTATGGAGTTGGGGGGAGAAAGGGGCCAGCCACTGGGTACAATTAATGTCCCTTCCATTCCTCTCGCCCCACCTTGCTACCTTTTTCTCCAGTGTAAGTGAAGGATTCTCTGAAGCACACTCAGCAATGAATGGAGGCTTTCTGGTGCTCGGCTAACTGGGTGAAATGCGGTTGTGTGAATGTGTGATTGTTGAATCAAAAGCTGGTGCATACCAGCTTTTGAGTGTCTGCTGGCTGGAGTGTGTGAAAAAAAAAATCTGTCAGAGGGAGATAAAATGCAAGTGTGTGTGTGTGTGTGTGTGTGTGTGTGTGTGTGTAGATGTGTGTGTGTGTGTGTATGTGTGTGTGTGCGTGTGTGTGTGCAAAAGGCCTGGAAGGGAAAAGTTCCAGCAGTCTGTGGGACTAGGAAATGGTTGTAGGCCAGCAGAAAGGTAAGTTCTTTTAGGGACCCACAGCGGGGGAAATAAGTATTGAAAACATCAATGTTTTTCATGGTAAATATGTCTGTAACTGGGCTGTTGAAGTGAAATTCACACCAGATGTTTGGTAGTAACTCGAGTAACCCACACATACAAAAAGATCAACACTAATTCATCCTCTAAGTATGGAGACAAAGAGCTCCACAAAAGGCTTTAGAAAGACCACAAGTTTGAAGATGAGAACACTGTGGTGTGGCAGGGTTAATACAACTGAAGCAAGAAGGAATTCAGAAATGTACAACATTCTTGATAAGAATATGAAGATGACAATAATGTAGACTTTTCAATTAAAAGTGACCTTAACCACACAGGCAGTGATGGAAAGTAAATCTGGTAAAATGACTCAGTCACTGACTTGAGTTTAATTGGAAAGAACCAAATCTCAAAGATCACAGTGACTCTCAAATGGTCTTCACGATGAATGGATCAAAATCCCACTGGAACAATGCATGAAACTAGGTTCTCCATAGAAGAGATCCATTAATGTATCCATCCATAGATTGTCGTTTGCTTCGATTATAGGGGCAGAGAGGTCCAGACTTCCATCTCCACAGTCAAGTGGGACAGCTCCTTTAGGGGAAGCCCAAGGAGTTCCTAGAACAGCAGAGAAACATAGATCCTCAAACATATCCTTAGTCTCCTCATGGTGGGACATGGGAGACCCAGGACATGGGAGACCCAGGACATGGGAGACCCAGGACATGGGAGACCCAGGACATGGGACATCCAGGAGGCAACATAACCAGATGCTTGAATCATCTCAACTGACTCTAACTGATGTAAAGGGAGAGTGGCTCCACTCTGAGTCTCTCCTGGATGACCGTACCTCCCACCCTATCCTTAAGAGGGAGCCCAGACACCCTGTGGAGGAAACTCATTTCAGCCACTTCTATCTGCAATCTCGTTCTTTCGGTCACTATCCATGAGCTTGTGACCACAGATGAGAGTAGTAATGTAGTTCAACTGATAATTCACCACATCAGACAGGTACAGCACTCGAGTTACCACAAATATTGCAACAATATGTATGTTGATCTCCCACTCCATTTTCCCCTCATTTGTGAACACGACCCTGAGGCCTCCACTTGGGGCAGGATCTCATCCCTAACTTGCTCAAAATCATGGTCTTGGGGTTGGAAGTGGTAATTCTCATCCCAATTCTTTCACACTTGACTGTTAGCTGCTCCAGTGAAAGCTGTAGATCATAATCTAATGATCCAATGTCCCCCTCAACACTTTTGTTGCCTCTAACAATTCTGTTTATCAAGGTTATGAACAGATTTGGTGACAAAGGGTAACTTTGGCAGAGTCCAACTCTCATCAAAAACAAGTCTGACCAAGTGCCAGCAATAAAGACCAAGCGCCACTGAGAAGCTTTTTAACTACCTCTGTGACTTCAGCACCAGAGATCGGAGAGACTGAGCTGAAGTCTCTACTTTCTCAGTGGAAGTATTACCGGTAGGATTGAGGAGGTCGTCAAAGTGTTCTTCCCACCCTCTCACGACATTCCAAATCAAGGTTTGCAGCACACCATTCCCACAAAGGCTTTGATGGTGCACAACGTTCCCCTCCTGAGATGCCGGATGCTAGACCAAGTCGTTCTCAATCACCTCACCAAGCTCCATCCACACCCAGATTTTGGCCTTGGCAACCATCTGAGCCACAATTCTCTTGCAGCTGCTTCCAGAGTCTCAAGGGCCAAAAAGGCCTGGCAGGACTCCTCTGTCAGCTGACAGCATCCCTTACTGCAGGTGTCTGCCATAGAGGAGATGACTTTGAATAAATGTCAGCGAGAGTGTCTAGTATACGTTCCCTCTTTATTCAGCTTTATATAATTTAATTTTCTAGACTCATTTGTGTGGATCTACTAGCCCCTTAACCCTCGCCCCCAATATCACTAAAAAAACGCCTGAAAAGGCATACCCAAATTAAATCAGCTGCTGTTCTTGAACAATTTGGAGAACATGCAAAAGCTTGTCTCTTTATGAAGATGACAAGCTAAATTTCCTATTTTTGCAGTCAAAAATACTTCCACTTTAAGTAGTTTGTAGCTGTTATGTTTGTAACACAAAAGAAATCGAAAACTTTTGCTTCAACCAGATTTTTCATTTTTATTTCTTGCACATTGAGTGTTTAATGCATTGACTGAAAAATATAATAAATCTATAGAATAAAGTATTGTGCTTGTGGATTTTAAGATTGATCAAAATAGCACTAAAAAGAAATGTCATTTTGAACATGTTTATTTATGAGGATGTACAGGTGTTGTCCAAGTGTGCCATTTGGAGTGTCCAAATGGCACACTTGGACAACACCTGATATACAAACTTCAAATGACTGTAGCTCCTCAGTGGTTACAGATCCAGCTGGTGGATTCATGTCAAAACAAACCCCAAGGTGTCATATCCTTGTGACAGGACACATGTTGGCTACACATCGGTGGCTTTAGATTTAGTTTCCGAGTTGACCAGTCAGAAATATTCCAGAAAGACTACAGGCATGTCAAAACGAGCTCAAGTCGCTCTCTGGATATTATTGGCTCAGAAAAAGCCATTTCATAACATTATTGGTCAAATGCGGTGTCAATCAAAAGGGGGGACTGTAGGCTGCCCAATAAAAGCGTCATAATAGACATCGGCTGAGTTTAAACCTTTAAGTCTCACCCCCGGAAAATACAATGGAAAAATGACACGTGGGCGTTCCGGTGCGGGTTAAGAGGTTAAATGCATGGAGTACCTGAATTGAGAAATGATGTGAATTTTACGTCAATAGCACCCCCCCCCACCC